GATCCTGTCAGATCTCGGGAGTTAAGCAGGGTCGGCCCTGGTTAGTATTTGAATGGGAGACGTCCGAGGAAGTCAAGGGTTGCTATGCAGAGGCAGGCAAGGGCAAACCACCACTGCTAGTATCTTGCCTTGGAAACCCTACTGGGTCGCCAGAAGTCAGCTGTGACTTGACAACACTTTACACACACACACACACACACACACACACACATACACACACAAAGTGAGGTTTGCTCAGTCAACGGCTGAAATCCTAAAGGGGTAGAATGCAGCAGATTCTTCAGACGACTCACCCAGTCACTCCCATCTTAAACTGCTTTAATAATTAAATGGTCCAGTGAGCCCAAATAATCCATCGGGAAGGACGACGCATCGCCCTGACCTGGATAGCTCAGGCAAGCCCGATCTCATCAGATCTCGGAAGCTAAGCAGGGCCGACCCTGGCAAGTACTTGGGAGACCTCCAAGGAATACCAGGGCCGGGAGGCAGAAGCAGGTAATATCAAAGCCACCTCTCCGAAAAACGTCTAAGCCCTCAGTAGGGGGTCACCAGAAGTCGCCATGACTTCCAGGCATGTAAGAACACACACACACAAACGTGCACACACACACACACAATCACCCAAAAGGAAAAAAGAAAAATGGAAGGACGATGCATTTATATCCTGCTTTTCTCCCCTGTCAGAGTTCAAAGCGGCTCAGAACATTATTCTCTCCCCCTCCATTTTCTCACAACAACCCTGTGAGGTAGGCCCGGCGGAGAGTTTGTGATGGGCCCAAGGTCACCCGGCAAGCTTCCATTCCAATTGGAATTTGAACCCAGGTTGCCTGGGGTACTAGTCTGCCACTCTACCCCTTACATCACACTGGCTCATCTGCAGAATAGGCTGTGCACTGTATGTATGGCTCTGGGGTTGTCTCCTTCCAGTCAGCTTCTGATCATCTGCTGCGTTCCTGCACCAGGTTTGGTTAGATCAAGCCTGGTGCAGAGACATGGCCGAAGTATTTTTCCTCGGGGGAGGCTGTACGTTGCATCTCTGCATGAGTCATCCTTCTGGACTTGGAGGCCATCTGGAACCGAGGGCCATGCAGAAAAATGCGGTTGTCTCCTCTGAAGCTTAGGCGATAATCTTTCACACTATAAAATTAAAAACATTCTGGGGTACGAGAATGAGGCAAGCCTTTGGTTTTAGTTCACAAAACAAACTGTGCTGTGATTGTCAGGAAGTTGAGAAGCGCTGTGTTTGCCATTGGTTAGGAATGCCTCTGGGATGCCGTCTCTTCTAAAAAGAATGTGTGTCTGAACACTCAGGGAGAGTATTAACCAGAGGCCTGCAAAAATTGGCATATTTTGCAGAGAGAGCCTGTCCTGTTGTAACAACCCACGCCCTGTTTGTCTTTGTTCTGCAGATTACTGGTACGGGACAGTGAAGTACTCCCGCACTGACTTCGTGGCCAGCTGGATCCAGCGTGGGCGGGACCTTGGTTTGCCCACCTATAACAAAGCCAGGCAGTTCTTCCAACTCGACCCTGCTGATGACCGGTGGAAAATCTTTCAGAAGAACCAGACGGTACTGAGCTAGCGCTCGGAGGGGGGGGGGGCTGGTGCCAGGCAGTACAGGGTCCCCCAAAAGCAGTGATTGAGGATGGAGGTTCTTTTCAAGGACAGCTTCTCTCTGGGGTTCTGAGCGCCTTCCTTCTAGGAAGAGACGTCATCCCCCCAGTGATGTCCAGGTGACGCTCTGGTATTTGGTTAAAAACTTGATGGTAGAAGCCAGTTTTACCATAGATTTTTTCCTCAAATGCCAGACATCACTGGGTGATGATGTCACTTCCTGCTCGGTGCCGGCAACAAGGCCTGGGCCTTTCTCTTTCTCTTTGTAAGTCCCTCCCCATCCCCCAGGGTTGTCCGGAGGGGCCTGGCAACCCTATTTCACCTGTGGAAAATGGCTGCTTTGGAAGGTGGAGACTCTATGGCATTGTACTCCATTGAACGACCTCCCCTTCCCAAACCCCACCCTCCTCAGGCTCCACCCCCAAAATCTCCAGGTATTTCCCAACCCAGAGCTGGCAACCCTAGCTGGTAGCCATTTTTTAAAAAATATTTTTATTTAATTTTTAGAAATAATAGGTAAAGGTAAAGGTTCCCTTGCTCGAAAGCCAGTCGAGTCCGACTCTAGGGTTGCAGTGCTCATCTCCGCTTCAAAGCCGAAGAGCCAGCGCTGTCCGAAGACGTTTCCGTGGTC